ATATGTTTAATCTCTCGCTCATCGGTTCCACTAAAATAATGTACAACCACAATCATTAACAAATTCATACAGTTTCATATAAAAATATCTGAAAATATGATCACCATAAAAAAAACGAACAAACCTGGCGACAATTTTTTATTTACATTATTTTTTTTTTCTTATTAAGTAAATAGACATATGAACGTGAACATAAATATTATATTTAAAAAGGCCAATTAATTTTTAGTTAATCAATGTGTTTGCTGGTACAGTTTTGATATTTGTTTATTTTTTTCATGTTTCTATTCAGATATGGGTCACAACGTACAGTGATCGTGAGCATAATGCCAAACCCTTCACTTTTACAGAAAACGTATGCAAGAACGCTTTCATCGATGAAAAGAAAAGAGTTGCAGATACTTTACTTTGTAGTGCATACTCATAAATGTTACGATTATATAGTAAGGGCAATAGATGTAATATATCCGCAAGGAGCACCGCCAGTTCTTGTTATTTGTCTCAAAAAGAGCATGTACTTAGGTATATTCAAAATATGTGCATTAAGTTATGAAATTAGCGCTGCATGTCCCATCGACTTGTAAATAGTTAATTTTTATAAATTATTTAATTTAATATCATGCACGGTAAATAAAGGTGAATGTCTATCAAATAAACACGCTAAAGGCCTCTCGTAGAAAATATTTCGATTGTTTCTATCGGAATTTTTGTACTATTATGTGTCTTATTTATACAAACATCTTTGAAAAAGAAGGAAATAAAATGAATTACACGTATCTCAGGATACCAAGTATTTTCTTGAGATTCGTTCTATTATGATTTGACAGATTTGTCCCTGGCAGTTTTATTGGATCTGCTATTGAGATTAAAATTTGTGAGCAAATGAGGCAGTACTATTTAAGATTTGGTAGGTGTCGCTAACGTGAGATACGATTGGACATGCGGCCTTGAGAAAAATTGTAGGTATGATCGTGGCTTATAAGTATTTATAATTGTAAGAATTCTCTCCATTGCTATTAACGAAACACGTGACAACAAATTAATTTCCGACCTTCTGAGAGGACTCACTTAATCAAGTGTTAAGGTTGATGGTCGCTCTAAAGATTATCGAAGGTCCAAGAACCAATGACTTAACGAGAGAAACTTTTCGACAGAATAATTTCATCTCAACCTTCAATCACGTTTATTTTATTAATTATAAATATATATATGTATACATTATATATATAGATCAGTTTTCATTGCATCGATCTTTATATAATCATCTAATTTAAATTAATTTATTATCGCTTATTTTTGTTTATACCAGAGGCTTTTGTACTACATTTAAAGCCCTCAGTCCAAGGAAATTTGGTCTGTAGGAAAAAGTCTTTTGTTTTAGGTAAACAAGTTAGTTTACGTTTCTTCATATTGAGCATGTGCTCAGAAGTTACCTAAATATATAATGTACATCTAATTGTGAGCTATTGCACAGGTCTGCTTAAGTTCCTAAAACCTGTTGCAGGCCACAAATAAGTCGCTCACAGAGTTTTCGTTTTTTTCTTTCCGGTGTAGTCGTTGAGTACATTGTACACACAGAGACGCATATATGTGCATTTTTTTACTAAACTCTATTCTCTTACCTAATATTCGTCGATAAATAATGCTTTTTATGTATTTTTTGTAATCACTTTATTTATGATTCCCTTAGTAATTTGTGAGTCACACGTACTCGATATACTGTCCAGAACAGGAGAATTCTAAACATTTATTAATTTAAGGAAACATATAGCTTTCTGTAAACTGTGCGCAACAAAATGCCTGTTTATTCTTAATACAATGGAATCTTGTTACGCTCAGACGCTTTACGCTATGTAGAAAAGTAAAAAAAAGAATTAACATTTTGTTTATAAATCATTTTTCATTCTTTCTTTTTCTCTCTCTTGTTGTCGTGGACAGCGACAAAAGAAATCATGTTTTCACGTGAGATCATTTTGTCATCTTCCGTTTTTTAAACTTTTGTGATATCAAGGGTGAAATTGTATTTGCTAATAGGCAAAGACAAGTGCGTGGTGCATAATGAGTGCAATTATTATTGAAATATTCTTGTCAAATGTATGTAAATATAATCATATACCCCATTACATTAGTTTGGCAAACCAACAGAAAAGCAGTCCTATGCAAACTGCGCTACTCGCAAAAGGCTACAAGGTACATATATGTATTTATCGCAAAACAGTACACGCAATATTAACGCCTTAACGCCTTAATGCCTTAATGATCTTCAAAATATTGTCACATAATAATTTATTTTTCATTCGACTGTGCAAATAAGGTGTTGACACGCATTGATAAATTTTAAATTATGGTTCAACATTTTTCCTTGAGCAACTAATCATGAAGCAAACTGTCAACCAATTACATTGATTGTGAGCTTTGGGTATTGACTATTTTTTTTTACTAAATTACAATTTGTCCTTATAGACTATCGTGAAAAGGCTTTATTGATTTCTTCGACGTAGATAAACAATTGAATTCTAAGATGTTTATCCAGCACATTTATGTTATAATTAAAATAGAATAAAGCGACGACAGTTATTCAGGTACAAGAGTCAACAGCCTGTTATCTATTCAAATTAAATTTAGAATTGCATTTTCTTCGATTGGTGAGTGTCTTTTTTCGTGACAAGAAAACTTTAAATTTATCAATGAATTGTACAAAATATTTCCTAACAACCAAATATTCATTGAAAATAGACTTTTAATCGGAGATCCTCAATATGTGCACACACAAAAAGAACAGAATACCCGGGGGTTATTATTATTTTAATAATATTTCAAGCGTAATTAAAATTATAATGAAAAAAAAAAGTTGTAGTCAGTATGTATTCACCCAGAAAAGCAAAGATCACTGTTAAAGAGGAGGTTGATCTATAACTGCTGCCGATTTTTTTGTAAACTGTACGAAATATGCGAATGTGAAAGAAATAAATAAGTTGACATATGTAGATATTCGTTTCATTGTTTTTGCAACATGTCGAAAATGTGTTGTACAGATGAGCTGTGACAAATCCACGTAGCAATGCGCTCTATTACGTTACGTTTTATTAAAAAATTATTGTATGTCCCATTTGTGCGCTCATTCAATTATGCTTAACATCATATTAATTCTGGCAGTATAAGAATCTATATTGCAGCTGAACGATGTATGGCAAGATCTATTTGTATTGAAGTAGATTTGCTATTAAAATGCAATGGGATTAATAAATTCCTTTTCATTGCACATTCTATGTCCACATTGAAACAGTATGTATAATTTTTTTCAAGTCCTCAATCAAGTTCAGATCTACCTCATCTATAGCAGAGAATAGGATGGAGTAGAAGGTCTAAAAATTTTCTTAGACTTAGAAGGTAGATTTATCTTCAGGATCTAGAGAGACTGTAGCTAAAAGGTACTATATGTTACAATAAAAACAAACACATGCTCTCAGTGAATGGAAATTACTTTTAAGAAAATTTCATATTGCTATTCTTTTTATTATTATCATTACACAATTAACAAGATTGAAATGTTTGCATTAAGAATGTGGAATAAAATGCATTAAATTTTTATTCATTATAATACCACTTAAGTAATAATTCTTAGATAGCAAATTTATTTAATAAAATAATTTATATTACACATATATCTGCATTTCTTTAATACTCATACTATGGATAATTCTAATTTTATGTTTTGATCTCGTGCTAGAACTTTGATCTTACTTTAAAGATGAATGTAATGAATTGGAACTTAGAACAAAAATGTTTAGAAAGTACATTGTCATTGCGAGATTTACGAGCGAAATTATTTCCTTCGAAAGATCGAAAACTTGATCGTGCACCAACATTAAGTAAAGACAATTATACTTCCAAAACTTTGGAAGGCAATTGGTTTGAACGTAGAGCAATTTATATTCCTCAGCCTATTGATTGGAAAACTACATATAATATGGATTATGAATTTCACATGAATAAAACTTGGGAAGAAAATCGAATTGCAAAATGGGATAACAAAATTAATCTTGAGGTATATAAATAATCAGCAAAATTAAATTATAGTTTTAAATAAATAACACAATAAACCTGCTTATGATAGAGGTTTTAAATGTTATCGTTGTGTCTTTATATTTTGATATAAGGGTTTAACTAGAGAAAAATTACTTAATCATAAAAAGGAATATTACAACAACATGACAACAACCTATGATTTGTCTTACAATATTTTACCAAAAGGTCTTGAAGAACCTAAGATCAGAACATATCACCCAAGGTATATGTTATTTTTCATATCAGTTCGTAATTAGTGATGTTTCATAAAATTATATCTTTTACTTCAAGAAAACGAAAATGGATCCCAGAACAAGATCTGACAAGAAATTATGGTAATTTAACGAACTTTGGTCTGAAGGAGGCAATAAATAAAGATTTATATGAAAATTCGAAAGAAGGATTAGCCAAAAATCGATGGAACACTATTTACAGGGAAGAAATTAGTCAGTTAGCGGGAATAAATATTACGCCAAACACTCAGTAAGTTTTCTTTAAAATAAATATATTTAAAATCTTTTCCACTTTTAATCTATTTACGCTAATGTTAAATGTCTTTAAGATTTAACAGACGAACAGTAAATTTTAATGTACCCGATCTTACACATTTTAAATGTAATTTATTAAATATGGAACCCTGTTTACTTCCATTTAAAGTTAAGAACTTAAAGGAAGATTTAAAATTAAAATGTGGAAATGCTATGTATATATGAATTAATTTGTTACATTCTGTACGAATATGATACTTCATATAAATATATTATCATGTATATTTTATTACATTATTTTGATGCAATATTGTGATATAATAAATATGTTTACAATTTTACAAATGTGCAAAAAACCTTAGATTTATGATTTATACATGTAATAAAATTTTAAATGCAATATAAGCCTTAAAAACTAAGCTCTTATCACTTTTGTTCAATTTAAAAGTCGCATTTAAATTATTAGTACAGTCTTATTGTTGTTTAGTTAAGAGAAAAATAATTGATATATGGAAGCACAAATATACAATTGAAACCTAGTTTACTTTAAAACTAGATTTCAACATTCTAGTTTAATCTTAGAAAAGATAAAAACAAATAAAATAAGGATCAGAGCTGAAAGAAGAGTCGTTAAAAACAGAAAAATAAAGAGAGAAAAATGAAACTGAGAGAGGAAGGAATACAATGTTTGTTCCAAACTGGTATGAATGGACAAATATAATATTAATATGAAAGAATAACTAAAAGTCACACAAAAAATAGAAATGCAAAATATGTAGAAAAAACATAATGGATGTTTCATATCTGGAAGGCAAGGGAAATGGGTAAAAACAAAATTAAAGAAACTTGTAAAGTTAATGTAAACAAACTACTGATGCGCATTATGTATATTATAATATGGAAACCATCTTTCTAAAAACAAAAGACGCAGAAAGAAATACACAAAAAGTAACACTTATTATAACAACAGTATCCTTAACAATATCTATGATCAATTTGTTAATATATTGTGAAGAAGTTAAATCGTATAAATAAGAGTTATTATTATAAAATGAATGTTACTTCACATTGTTTTAATTTGTTGGCTTAGGTACATATCTCACTAATGAACACATATGAAAAAGTTTTCATTCATTTTAACTTCAATGATTTAGAATATTTTGCAGTACTGTAACATGCCAGTATTTATGTAGATTATTGTCTGAATCCAATTGATGAAAAAAGGGACATATACAAAACAAACTTATTAATTACTCTTATGTTACCTTATGATACAGACAGAGATCTATGATAACAGAAAATATTATATTGGCAGTGTTAACATCTGATTACTCATCAGGTTAAAGAAGTTCTGTTTCATAAGTTAATTACTGTTTAATAAAACTTTACTGTGTAGTAAAAGTAATCTATCTAATTACTTTAATTAAGACAATAATTAATTAACAAATCGATATTTGGAAAACATCTGTTTTTCATGGTGAATCTCACCTTCTTCAACAGACCATACTTTGCAGAACATCATGTATATAAATGGTAATATTAACTAGGTAATCTGTAACTAAGTAATCTTTACTATAACTAAGTAATCATATAAAAAATTGTAATTTATATTCCGGTTAACGTAATAATGTAGTCCAGAAAACTGTTATATTTAAAATAAGGGAACCACATAAAACAACTGATAACCAAACTGGAACTGTTACAACAGTTGTGTGACACGGAAGCGTTTGTATTTCAGAGGGATTCTTAATATCATTTTCATTTACCGTTTGTGTCTGTAAACACTGATCCATAAAAGCAGAACCATTTTTTTGACCTGTCTGAAATAGTAATAATTTCTGTGGAGTATACATATTAGATGATGTAAATTTCGCTGCCTGGTTATTAACTGAATTTTTTAAGTCTGGAAATGGGAACTGCAGACTTGATTGATAGAAGGTTCTATTAGGACTAATATTAGTTTGTTTTGTAATGTGATAAGATTGATTAAAATCTGACATAATCGAACACTGATCGAATTCATGTATGGATGGTTCCCTAGATGGATAAAAATTAGAACCGACAGAACCGAAACCAGAACTTGGGCTGGATGATCTAGATAATGATGGTGGATCCATACCATCTTGCCAGTATCCATCAGTTACCCATGTTGCTTGAGTAACTGACTTTGATTTAGGTGGGGACAAACTATTCTTCTTACTCAAGGTGCCATTTAATCTTTTAAAAAGCTTGGAAGTTTCTGTGCTATATACTTTTCTTTCAAAAATCTTCGGTGCTTTATTTTTTATTGTATACTTCGATTTATCTTCACTCAAAGATAATGTGCTTAAGATACTTAAACTGTCATTCAATGAACAGTTTTCAGCCATATTGGTTTTATGTGTAGACAGAGACAGAGAATTAAATAATAGGCTGTTATTATTAACTGGTGTTGTTGTTAATTGTGATTCTTGATTTGTGCTGTAACGTTTAAAAAAAATACCACTACTTGAAATAATAGTGTTTGGTGCTGATAGTATGTAGATATTAGTAACAAATTAAAAAATATTACTTACAATGGAATTTGAAATAGTGTACGTTTATTAATTGATTTACCCATATAAAATGGTATAGACTCATTCGTTATATTCGGTGAAAATTTATTACTAATTGATTCACCTACATCACTTGTGATTTTAGTATCAAAACTATGTTCATCATCTGAAGTTGTCATGTACGAACCAGATAACATTGTATTTTTAGAGGAAGATCCTAGTTTTTTGAATGACATATTTTTATTCATTGTACTTTTGTGTGATTTAGGCTTAATATTAATAAAGCCTATAATTGAAGTAAACAACATTATCTAAAATGAAAAATTAAATAAGTTTTTATCAAAGCATAACTGTAAATGCAATTTATGTAATTTATTATCTTACCATGTGATATTGAGTTATATATTCGAAAGAAAACCATTTATTATGTAAATTTAGTTTCATTATCTTTGAGTCTTTATAAGGTAAAAGTATAATAATACAGATCCATAAAAACATAAGCAATATATCAGAACTTTTTCTTCTGGCAGAAGCTACGCAGCAAGTACAGAATTGAAAAAATAATCCTCCGATTGGCAAGAATATGAGATCCATGTTGTACACTACCATAGAGTCAAAAATTGTTGAAATTATTCTGAATATTGGTTCAGAATATTTAGCATTCTAAGAAAGATAAAAAAAAACTTACAACATCAGTTTAATCTTTTTTACAAGATACATTATATATACTCACATTAGTAATTACATCAAAAGGTTTTTGCTTAAACAGCAACATTTTATATTCTGCAAGCCATAATGCTTGTTTGTATAATATATTATTTACTGTACTTTTACATTTTGTGCACAGTGGATATTCCTGTTCTAAACTTTTTTTAAATTGTTTTACTTCCCGGTCATAATTCCTATCATTTGTAGGTACATAGTTTGACAATTTTGATAATTTTAGGGTTTCATTTTTTGTACATTGATTACAGAGTCCATTTGTTGAAACTTTATTAATTTTTGTACTTTGATCAATAGAGCAATACCTCTTGTTATTATATGTAGATGTTTTGTATTGTTCTGGTATGCTATATGCATAATCACCATTCTAAAATTTGATATGAAAAAATGATAGAAATTATTTTTCAAAATGCACATGAAATTAATTCCAAAAAAATACATAAAAGAGAAATCTATATATGTTACAAAGATATTTATTTCACATATTTGCATAAAACAATTATAATAATAGCTCAGGAACACTAATACAACTTTTATTAATTGTTGCTGTAAATATTGTATTTTAAAGAGATTAATATTTTCTTTTGAACTAGTGTAAAGATATTATTTTCATTATTTGAACTATTTAGTATTAATATGTAATAATTTTAGTAAATAATATAACGAAATATATTTTTTAAACACATATAAAAAATATCGCATAAACAGACATATTATTTATTATAGATAAAATCTACCCGCGTAAACGAAGCTATTATTTCCATGTATGAAAAGTGCCCGCGTAAATCTCGGGATGACTGTACTTTGAATAACATGTTGCGTTAAATTTTAACTTATTTACCTTGGAAAAGCCATTATATTGTTCACAATGTGGGCATAACCACCAATTTAGTTGCTGCCGCCAAATTTTACTATTATTATTGCAAAACCAGCAGTTTAGCGTTACGGGCCATCTCAGTCTAACATATAAACGAAATATTATGTGTCAATTATATTGTATTTTTAAAAAGAGTAATGAAATTTAATGATTTACTTACTTTAGCTTTAAGAGAACTGTGCAGATAGTAACTATTATAAACAAAATAATTGAAAAAATTGGCATAAAATCAACTAATAGATCCAATTCCATATTAAAGGTAGAGTTTCTTCACCTTAACCTATATGACTATACCATAGACGAGGAATAAGGTAGACCTTTCATCTGCACTCATCGTGTAGGGTTAGTGTTGTAACAACACCACAGAGGAACTGTACAAAGATGACAGCTTTTTCGATACAAATTTTCAGTTCGCTTGCGTTTTGAAGTAGTATCATATTTTATAAATACTTTATATAACAAAATTTTGAATATTTATATTTTTTCCCTAAATATTACTATATATTATATTATAAACATAATTAAAAATCTCTATGTAAAGTACTTAGTAATCGATTAATAGAAAATACATTAATCGATTTTATGCGTATCGATAGGATATGACTATAGAAGTCGATAGTACAATTATCGAGTTCGACGTAAAATCGAGTATAGTAGGGTTTGGTGACAAGCAATTCTTATAATAGCAGCAAGTATAATAATTAAATTTTGATTTCATGATCTGTTTCTTTTCATAAGTGAATGATCTTATAAGAAAAAAGAATTAATTATTATTTACAGTTGATTACAAGTAGTGAGTGCGAAAATGACGCTCACAAATAAGGCAAGTATATAAATTTGTGTACAATATAATATTTTATAACAATTTTTAATGTTTTGAATATTTTAGATGGAAATAGATGAAAAAATTGCGAAGGGTGAAGGTTTTAAACCGTATTATATTACCAAAATTGAAGAACTACAGCTAATTGTAGCTGAGAAAAGTCAAAATTTGAGAAGGTTACAAGCACAGCGCAATGAACTTAATGCAAAAGGTATATTTGTCTTAACCTGGATTTTTCATAATTATTCATTTTTATACTTTAAAGCAACTAATTTCCATGAAATGTTTAACCATTGATTTTAGTACGTATGTTACGAGAGGAATTACAACTTCTTCAAGAACAAGGATCCTATGTCGGAGAAGTTGTTAAACCAATGGATAAAAAGAAAGTTTTAGTTAAAGTACATCCAGAGGGTAAATTTGTGGTGGATATAGACAAAAACATTGATATTAATGATGTAACACCAAATTCAAGAGTTGCGTTACGCAATGAAAGTTATACTTTACATAAAATCTTACCAAATAAAGTAGATCCACTAGTGTCTCTTATGATGGTAGAAAAAGTACCAGACTCTACTTATGAAATGGTTGGTGGCTTAGACAAACAAATTAAAGAAATTAAAGAAGTAATAGAACTACCTGTTAAACATCCTGAATTGTTTGATGCTCTTGGAATAGCACAACCTAAAGGAGTACTTTTGTATGGACCACCAGGTAAAACAATAAGCTAAGGAAACTATTGTCTTGTTTGTTGGTCAGAAAATAATATTGTAGTTTATAATTCAATTTTAGGCACAGGAAAAACTTTGTTGGCAAGAGCAGTAGCTCATCATACTGAATGTACATTTATTCGTGTGTCTGGTTCTGAATTGGTACAGAAATTCATTGGTGAAGGTTCTCGAATGGTCCGTGAACTCTTTGTAATGGCAAGAGAACATGCACCATCTATAATATTCATGGATGAAATAGATTCAATTGGAAGTTCTCGTATTGAATCTGGGTCTGGTGGAGATAGTGAAGTATGCTTTATACTTTCAATTCTAAAGTTTACTTTTGTATATATTATACTTTTTTTTATACTTATGCCTGATAAATATTATGACTAGGTACAAAGAACTATGCTTGAATTATTGAATCAGTTAGATGGTTTTGAAGCAACAAACAATATTAAAGTCATTATGGCAACAAACAGAATTGATATATTAGATCCTGCTCTACTTAGACCAGGACGTATTGATCGAAAAATTGAATTTCCACCTCCAAATGAAGAAGCACGTCTTGATATTTTGAAAATTCATTCAAGAAAGATGAATTTAACTCGTGGCATTAATTTAAGAAAAATCGCAGAGCTTATGCCTGGTGCATCTGGTGCAGAAGTTAAGGTACTGGGTATTATTTGTGCAAGAATGATAAAATATTTTTACATTATTTGTTTATTGTATTTACTTTATTTTTAGGGAGTTTGTACAGAAGCTGGTATGTATGCCCTTAGGGAACGTCGCGTTCATGTTACCCAAGAAGATTTTGAAATGGCTGTAGCAAAAGTTATGCAAAAAGATTCTGAAAAGAATATGTCCATTAAGAAGTTATGGAAGTAAATAGTCAGACTTCACTACTTCAATATTGTTTACATTTTTTGTAAAACCATTTATGAGATCTATATTACTTCACATAAAATAAAATTTATGATTCTAAAAAGAAAGGATTATTCCAAGATATATACCATTTGCGTGAAGATTTAGTATTAATTATTTTATAATTATTTAACTCTCCTTAATAGAATAGAATATACTAGTACATTTTTAATGAACGAATAATCTTTATTAATTGGAGATATATTTTTTATTTTATGTAAGAAATATTTTAATGTTCTTATTTGAGGAGTTTAAACTATTACAATACAGATTATTTCAATATTTCCAAAAATAAAAATTCTGTATTATGTAGTATGTTAAAGGCTTTGTGCTTATACCCCCACCTTCAGAACGGTCGTATGTGGTCGCATGCGGCGAGCATTCTTTGGTTACTAAGTTTTTAATATTGATATATTTTCAATAGAAGATAAGATTGTTTATAGTGAAAGATGGGTAAGAAGGCAAAACTTGGAAAGCAGAGGAGAGATAAATTCTATCAGTTAGCTAAAGAAAGTGGTAAGTAATTATTTGCGGTTAATACATTCTCGTAGTTTGTATGAGGTTAGTGTTAATAAGGTATTATATAAAAAGCTGTCAGGTTCATTTAATTTTATGCAAATTTTTAAATAAAATGTTAATTTAAAAATTCAATTTTCTATTTTTGTTAGTTATTTCATAGAAATAATATTTCTCATAGGTTATGTTTTATAGGTTATAGGTCACGTGCTGCTTTCAAATTGATTCAGTTAAACAGAAAGTTTGAGTTTTTACAAAAGTCTCGAGTATGCATAGACTTATGTGCAGCTCCTGGAGGATGGATGCAAATTGCTCGGCAGAATATGCCAGTATCCTCCATAGTAATAGGTGTAGACTTGTTTCCCATAAAGCCAATTCCAGGATGCATCAGTTTAGTGGAAGATATCACAACAGATAAATGTCGGGTTTCAATATCTCGTGAATTAAAGACTTGGAAGGCTGATGTTGTGTTACATGATGGAGCACCAAATGTTGGTAAAAACTGGCTTCATGATGCATATCAACAGATTGTTTTAACTTTATCAGCTTTAAAAATGGCGACACATTTTCTGAGATCAGGTGGATGGTTTGTTACAAAAGTTTTCAGATCAAAAGATTATCATGCATTAATCTGGGTTTTAAAACAGCTATTTAAAAAGGTATTTAACATTTTGATTATAACAATATTATTTGTCTTATGAAGAGATTTAATTATTAAATTTTATTTAAGGTACATGCAACTAAACCTCAAGCATCACGTACTGAATCTGCTGAAATATTTGTTGTTTGCCAATATTACATTGCTCCTGATAAATTAGATCCTAAATTTTTAGATCCGAAATATGTTTTTTCTGAATTGGAAATAGAACCAAAAAATAAATTAAATGTTTACAATCCAGAAAAGAAAAAATTGAAGGCTGAGGGTTATCCAGAAAATGATTATACTTTGTATCATAAATTGTCTGTGAAAGATTTTATAGCGCACGACAATGCAGTGGAAGCATTGCAGGATGCATCTGAAATTGTTTTTGATGACGAAACTATAACAAACCATAAAGCAACAACCAATGAAATTAGAGAATGTTGCAAAGACATTAAAGTATTAGGTAAAAAAGACTTGAGAAGTTTGCTGAATTGGTGGAAAACAATGAAAGAAGTTTTGAAAGAAGAAGAACCAGTATCAGAAAGTGCAGTTAATGAGCCAGCAGAAGTGGAACCTATGACACAGGAAGAATTAGAGGATTTAGAAGATGAAGAGATTACAAAACGGATTGAAGATCTCAGAGCAGAAGAAGCTAGGGAATTGAAGAGAAAGAAGAAAAAAGCTAATAAAGAAAGACAAAAATTAAATGAACGTCTAAATTTAAAAATGGTTCATAAAGGAGATGAAGGTCCTGTACTGGAAGGAGAAGACATGTTTAGTTTGAAAGAAATTAAGACATATCAACAATTAGAAGATATTACAAATCAGCAACCTGATTTGGTAGCAGAAAGTGATGTAGATTCAGACAGTGAAAAAAGAAAACCAAAAAAGGTTAAATACAATAAAGATGAAGGACAATTGGACAGCACTGGATTATATTATAAAACAGACGATAGTGAACCAGAGGATTCAAGTGATGATGATTCAGAAAGTGAAAAATCAGGCTTAGGTACTTGTGTATATAATACATATATTTAGTAAAAAATATCCTTATATTTACATACTTACTTTTTATTATTAGGTTTTGATGATTCTGATGATAACGGTGAAGGTGAAGTTCAAAAGAAAAAGAAGAAAATTGAAGATGATTCAGAAAATCCATTAATAACTGATTTAGATTATAGAGATAAAAAGACTAAAAGAATTCACAAAGCTGAACTATGGTTTGAAAGAGACATTTTCAAAGATTTAGAGGATGAAAAAGATGAAGACTTTGAATTGGATAAAATGGTTGAAGAATACAAAAAGAAGGGCGGTCGCATTATAGGAGATGATTCAACAAATAGTGAAAAAGAGAATAAAGTAAATAAGAAGAATATAAAAGAAAATGCTGTTGAAGATGATGTTGATAGTACTGAAGACAGTAGTAATTCTGACTCTGATTACGATATGGAAGAAATGATGGTTTCAAATAAAGGAAATAAGACTAAAGTTCACGCAAAAAATGGTTTCACAGTAGTTTCACAAACAAATGGTGAGTATATTACTGATTTTACATTAAAAAATAATTTATTCATTAACTAGTTGTTCTACTGAACAATGTATGCACAGATGTCAAATCAAAGAAGAGGAAACGTTTGTCAGAAGAAGATCTGGCATTGGGTTCGTTATTAATTCAAAGTAAAAAAACTCGAAGAGATTTGATAGATTCAGCTTGGAATAGATATGCTTTTAACGATGAACATTTACCTGATTGGTTTGTACAAGAAGAAAATGAGCACATGAAGAAAGAAGCACCTGTACCCAAAGAACTCGTCGATGAGTACAAGAAACGAGTAGAAGATGTGAACGCTAGACCAATCAAAAAGGTACTGGAAGCAAAGGCAAGGAAGAAGAAACGTGCAATACGCAAATTGGAGAAAGCAAAGAAAAAAGTGGAAGCAATAATGGATAACGCAGATATTAGCGATAGAGAAAAAGCAAAACAAGTGCAAGCGTAAAGATCATTTCTTTATTTTATTTCGTTTTAATAACAGATTATTCTTTTACATATATTTATATACATTTTTACTTTTAGGTTGTACAAGAAAGCGCAGAAACAACCCAAGAAAGACGTTACTTACGTGGTTGCAAAGAAGCACATGGCACAGAAGAAAGCAGCGAGACCAGCTGGTGTAAAGGGACGTTACAAAATGGTCGATCCTAGAATGAAAAAAGATTTACGTGCAGCAAAAGCAAAAGAAAAAACTAAAGGACGCGGGAAAAAAAGTCGCGGCGGCAAACCGCCGCGAGGAAAGCCTAACAACGCTCACAAAGGGAAGAACTTAAAAAAATAATCTATAATTTTAACAATTTCTCGCTACTCTGAAAATTAGACCTTTAACATACCGCGATGAAGCAGCAAAACAACATAACACAAAGTATTTTTTTCGATGCGCAGTGAATGTTGTTGAACAATCCATTGAATTTCTGTACATATGGTACATTTTGTACATATAGATTTATGTATTGAAGTACACAAAGGCTGAAATTAAAATATTTTGTATATACATGCTTGTGTAATGAAGTTTATTCATTACGTAAATTATTCTTTTTATTATCAATATTTATTAATATAGGTAATGTTTACAATGATTCGTAGTAATTATTCAATTTATGCCTTAATTTGGAATCAATGTTAAGTCGAATACAGACAAACATTAACTACCTGTCGATCTCCGGACTGAGATCATTCGTGATAGACTTCGGTGTGCAAAGTATGTACCTATACACAGCTTCCCCCACTTTTGCTTGTCGGTTACCGGCGGTGCTAACGGCATCTCTGCCAGGTGTATTCCATACATCGAACATTCTGATGCAACCGTGAGCTGCGTAGCATCGGGACACCGCGGTCGATGTCAAGGCTGATAGCATTTAGAAAGATCATTCCACGTCGATATTGTTACAATCGGAGCACCATCAATAGAACTTTTTTTTCCTATTTTTGGTGTGTCGCCAAAAGTCGCATCACCGGCTTCCTACATCGTCACTAACCGGCGAGAGACTTTCCAACATGCGTCTATCGATGTATATACATACATGTAACCCTTTGACAACTCCAAATG